TTACCCGATTTTCTCATCCACATCATAGATTACCCCCACCCCCCCACCCCCACCCCACCCCTTCCTCCCAACACCCAAATCTATATTTTCAACCCTCCCCCCCCCGCACTTAAACCACCCAAAAGCTAAAAGAAAACAAAAAACGAACAAACAAACAAATCAACCTAAACAAAAACCAACATTAATAACGACCATGAAAGTGAAATTAGTAATCCACTTTTTCTTTTCCTTTTTTCTTTTTTTTAAATAATAATCTGAAGAAGAATGACCTCGGTCCGGATGCCTTATGACCTCCCTGCCCGTAACCCTCATCTATATACAATGATCTCCCTCGCGGAGTTTACGAGGTGAGGTCAAATGAGAGAGTAATGTTATGGCAACCTTGCTTCCTTCCCTTTGGGGGGTCTCCTCCTCTCCTCCTCTTCCTCCTCTCCGCCTCTTCCTCCTCTCCGCCTCTTCCTCCTCTCCGCCTCTTCCTCTTGATTCTCTTTCTCCTCCACCTCCTTCTTTTGTTCCTCTTCCTCCTCCTTCTCCTCTTCCTCCTCCTGTTCCTGCTCCTCATCCTCCAAGCTTTCTCTATCTCGCCTCTTCCCTTCCCTCCCTTCCCTCTTCCCTCCTCCCAGCCTCTAACCCTCCATCCCACCTTCCCTCCTCCTTCCCTCCCTCCCTGCCTTTCCTCCTCCCTCCCTCCCTCCCTCCTCTCCTCCCTCCCTCCCTCCTCTCCTCTCCTCTCTCTTCCCGCACCTCCAAAAGCTGATATTGTTAGTCGTTTTCAGCTCTCGATAAAAGTCCATCTCGGTCCAAATTTTCTTTCATTCGCGAGATGGATAACCACCTCCGCCGCATCCACCAATTTCCACTCGTTTTTCCGCTCCAGAAACCCGTATACTTCTCCCCAACCAGCCAACTTTTCCCATTCCGCGGGCTCGAATTCTCCCTCTCTCTCTCTCTCTCTCTCTCTTTCCCTTTCTCTCTCTCGGTCTCTCTCTCTCTCTCTCGCTTCTCCTTTCTCTTTCTTTCTCTCTCTCTCTCTCTCAGTCTCTCTCTCCTTCTCTCTCTCTCTTTCCCTTTCACTCTCACTCTCTCCTTCCCTTTCCCTTTCTCTCTCTCTCTCTCTCTCTCTGCTTCCCTTTCCCTTTCTCTCTCTCTCTCTCTCTTTCTATATATCTCCATCTTTATCTCTATTTCTCTCTCTCCCCCATGTTAACCTTCCCCTTCCCTTTTAGCTACCTCGATTCCCAATCACTTGCGGCTGCGGCTGGAGGAGTGGCAGTGGCAGTGGCAGTGGCGGCGGCAGTGGCAGTGGCCCTAGTAGCAGTGGCAGTGGCAGTGGCAGTGTCAGTGGCAGTGTCAGTGGCCCTAGTGGCAGTGGCAGTGGCAGTGTCAGTGGCAGTGTCAGTGGCAGTGGCAGTGGCAGTGGCAGTGGCAGTGGCAGTGGCAGTGGCGGCGGCGTTTCGGAGGCAGCGTGCAGGTGGGGCGGCCGTACGTCTGAACTTGGCCGGACAGTTGGACAGCTCATGGAAATTATGGGCCCGCTGGAACCTGGAAACTCGAGCGCTGGAGCCCGGAACGCTAAATTTACGGGCGTCCTCTTGGCCCTCTCTCTCTCTCTCTCTCTGCCTCTCTCTCTCTTTCTCTTTCTCTCTCCCTTCCTCCTGCTCCTCCTCCTCCCTCTCCTGCTTTCCGCCTTCCTCTCCCTTTCCCTCCTCTCGCTTCCTTTCTTCCTTGCTTCTCCTCCCTCTCTCCACTTCATTGTTTATCTTTCTTCTCTTCTCTTCCTTGTTTTTTTCTTCCTCTCTTTCTCCCTTTCACTCTTCTACTCTCTCCCTTCCCCTCTTCCTTCTTTCCTCATCCCTGCCTTGCCTCTCCTCCCTTTCTTCCTATACCGATGTTTCCCCATTTCTTCTTCTTTCTCTTCTTCTTCTCCTCCTTCTTCGTCTTCTTTTCCTTCTCCTTTACATTTTCAAATTTCAAGTTTATCTATCTTTCCTCCTAACGTATTATTTTTTTGTTCGTTCTTTCGTGTGTTTCCTTCCTCCCTCTTCCATATTATATATTTCGCTCTCCCATCGCACAGACAGACAAACAGACAGAAGAAAAGGGCTTAGATAAATATGCAGATAGAAAGACCACCAAACAAACAAACAAACAAACAAAAAACAGCCTCGTACATATGCACGATCTCTTTTCCCCTCCCTTACCCCTCTACCCCCTACCCCCCTTACCCCTCCCCCCCCCCCTCTACCACGATTTTCCGTACCCAAAAGTCGCTCTTCAACCTGCGGCGATCTCGCTCGCGCCCCTCTCCCCCCCCCATCCCTCCATCACCTCCATCACCTCCGTCACGAGGCTAGGTGCCCCCCCCCCATCCGTAACTCCGTCACATACCCGATCGCTCCCTCCGTCGCCCCCTACAGGTTTTTTCGCTTACTCCTGCCTTTTTTTATGTTATTTATTCGTTTATTTTCCTTCATTTTCTTCGTTTTTTTTTCTTCTTTCTTCGTCTTTTTATTCATCCCTTTCTTCGTCCCTTTATTCATCCCTTTCTTCTTCTTTCTCTTCTAATTACCTCTTTCCCTCATTCCTCTTCCTCTTTCCCTTCTCCTTCCTCTTCCTCTTTCCCTTCTCCTTCCCTTCCTACTTCTTCCTTCTTTCCTCCCACTCTCTTTCTCCGCCTCTTTCCCTTTCCGACTTTCCTTTAGCGCGTTCGGGGCGTGCGTGTGTGTTTAATTTCCTTTAATAATGGCTGAACAGACTTAATAATAACGACGCCAATAATGCTAATGGCGATACAAAAACACTAATGATCGTAACAACAACAACAAAGAAATTGTTCACAGCGAAATGTACAAACGTCCAAATTCTACAAACCTGCATGTTAGAGAGAGAGAGAGAGAGAGAGAGAGAGAGAGAGAGAGAGAGAGAGAGAGAGAGAGAGAGAGAGAGTGAGAGAGAGAGAGAGAGAGAGAGAGAGAGAGAGAGAGAGAGAGAGAGAGAGAGAGAGAGAGAGAAAGAGAGTGAGAGAGAGTGAGAGAGAGTGAGAGAGAGTGAGAGAGAGTGAGAGAGTGAGAGAGTGAGAGTGAGTGAGTGAGTGAGTGAGTGAGAGTGAGTGTACACTTCAAGGTGTACATGAAAAAGTGCGCGTATCTACCTGTAGCTATACATGTGCGCAAGTGTACACGTAAATGTATTCCTATAAATGTAAATCATACCTCTAAACGTACATAAGTGGTACCTACAGGCGTACACAAGTAACTCGTAGATGTACATAAATGACCTGTAAGTGTACAACAAGTGACATAAGTGTAATTAAAAGAGTAAATGATATCTTGTACCCCATACCTGTTCCGCGCAGGTGTCTATACAAAGGTAACGGATGTGTACAAGCAGTCAGTCTTGCGTTTCTTGAAGACGACGGCCGCGTTCACTAATGACCCCCCCACCCCCACCCCCACCACCACCCCCACCCCAAGACGCCGCCTCATTAGGGAAAAAATAACTTTCTGTCGTTTTGCCGGATCTCAGAGCGAGGTGTGAGAGTGAGAGTGAAAGTAAGAGTGAGAGTTTTCTCCTTCTCCCCTCCCCCCCCACTTCCTTTCCCCATCCCTCCATCCCTTCCTTGGTCTTCCTCCCTCCCCTTCCTTCTTCCTTCCCCTATCCCCTATCCGTCCCTAAACCATCTTTTTTACCCTTGCTCTCCCTCCCTCCCTCCCTTCCTCCCTCCCTCCCTTCTTCTATCCCTTCCCCTCCCTCCCTTCTTCTATCCCTTCCCCTCCCTCCCTTCCTCCCTCCCTTCCTCTATCCCTTCCCCTCACCCTATCCTCCCCCCTCCCTCTCCCCCCCTTTCCCCCCCATCCCGCCCGTTCTTAAAACTTCGAGGATCTTATCTGACTAAAAGTAAACGCAGCGTCACAGCGGCCGCCCACAATTTACAGCCGGGGGGGGGGGGGGGGGGACGTGGGGGAGAGTGTAGGGGGCGTGTGGGGAGTGTGGGGGGCGTGGGGGGGAGTGTGGGGGGGCGTGGGGGGAGTGTGGGGGGGCGTGGGGGGGGAGTGTGGGGGGGCGTGGGGGGGAGTGTGGGGAGCGTGGTAGAGAGTGGGGGGGGGGGGCGTGGTGAGGAGTGTGGGGGGGGCGTGGGGGGGAGTGTGGGGGACGTGGGAGGGGTGGGGGGGGGAGCGTCGCGCCCAGCTTCATCCCCCCTCCAAGGAGAAAAATTATTTATTTACAGCCTTGCGTGCAGCTAAAGACAGAAGAACACACCCCGTTAAGGTCAAGTGCGTGCACGTGTGCGTGTGAGGTGGAGGGAGAGGAGGAGGAAGAGAGAAAGGAAGAAAGGAAGAGAGAAAGGAAGAGAGAAAGGAAGAGAGAAAGGAAGAGAGAAAGGAAGAGGGAGAGGGAGAGGAAGAGAAAGAGAGAAAGGAAGAGGAAGAGGAGGAGGAGGAAGAAGATGAGGAGGAAGAAGGAGAGGAGAGGAGAGGAGAGGAGGAGGAGGAGGAGGAGGAGGAGGAGGGAGAGGAAGAGGGAGGAGAGAAGGAAGAGGGAGAGGAGGTTAAAGAGGAAGAGGAAGAGGAAACAAGGGAAGAGAGGAAGAGAAAGTGAAGAAGAAAGAAAAAAATGTTTGATACATACATGCACATACACACGCGCACATAAAAACGATTATACATCATAATATATACATACGTACATAAACACATATATATATTTATTCATATTTATATAAATATTCATAAAAAAATGACGAAAAGTAAAGGCGAGGCTACAAATCTACACTAAACGAAAGAACAATCAAATCGACAGATAAAATAATACCAACAATAAAGTAAGAAAAAAACAACAACAAATATCTCTACTAACAACCATACCAAACTACAAACGAACTATCGATCACAAAATACGAAGAAGAAGAAGGAGAAGGAGAAGAAGGAGAAGATGAATAAAAAAACAAACAAACAACAAAGAAAAAAAAAACAGACGAAAAAATTAAGTTTAACACTCAC